TTTCTTGGTCTTTTTCCCACTGGCCCTACTGAAGATGTTTTGACTAGAAAGGATGCAAGACGAAATCTTACACTTTAAACTGAGAGACCAAACTCTTTTGACAATGGAGGGATAGGGTTTACCTGAAGGAAAAGTGAGCCCAGCTGACATCATAATTCAACAGTTTCAGTTAAATTCCAGAATCCCACTGTAAGCTTAGGATCTACTTCAACAGATTTTCCTTGCACTCTTCTCCTTTCTGCCTAAGTTCTTTTTCATTGTGGTTGTTTTGTTTTGTTGTGTTATTTTCCTTTTTGGAGGGGAAAGGAGCAGGAGAAGAATTATGCTTAAGCTGCATTCGACCTGGACATGCTGAATAAGCTCATTGTTATGATGCTCTGTGTGTGACCAAAAAAATGAGTCGAAAGTGAATAATGCTCTAAGATTTGCTTTTCTTCTAGGCCTGAAACTGGTATTACACTTACAGTTCTTCTGCATTTATAATTGTAAGACAATTTTTTTCATTAGTTATTGTGGTATATATTTTTATATGAATATATTGTGTTTTCATAATGAGAAATAATACCAACTTTCAATTACTACCTGATAAAAACTTCCATAAAAAGCTTTCTATAAAAACTGTCCGCAAGAAAAACAAATCCTTTTCAATCCTTATGTTGCAGCAAGGATGTAAAATATCACCCAAGATAACGCCAGTTCATGGGTTTGTAAAATATAGGATACGCATTCGGTACATGGTGCTATTAGAAATGGTTAAAATGACATCTAAGCATTTGATTTTTAATTTCATTTTAAAAATACCTCTTGTACTATATACAGAAGAAAAGTGAATGCCATAACATATCTGCACCACATCTACATCTTTTCCTTGACTATGAGTTGGAGACTTATTTTCAAACCTAAGATTTTAAATGATGTGCCAAGGGCTTCACAGAAATTAATGGCAAGGATACGATTAGAATCAGAGTATTTAAAATCTGTTAACTCCCTCTAGACTATTGCTTTCTTGACTGACTAATGTTGCAATGACTCAATATATTTTTAAAATTTCTACTTCTGGAAGTATTTGAGAAATGACCTGAGAAATGCAGCTCATGTCTAACAATTTGTGAGAGAGATAAATTCACAGAATCATTGTGAATTTCAGAATCATAAAATGACTTGGATTGGAAAACATCTCAATGATCATCCAGTTCCAAACCCCTGTCATGGGCAGTGCTGTTTGTCCCACCAGCTCAGGCTGCCCACCAGCACTATTCAGCCTGGCACTGCATGCTTCTAGGATGAGGCATACACAGCTTTTTTGGGCAGCCTGTGCCAGTGCCTCATTGCTTTCTGAGTGAAGAATTACTTCGTAACACCTTACTGAAATTTCCCCTCTTTCTGTTTAAAGTAATTCCCCCTTGTCTTATTATTATCTACTTGCATAAAAGTTGGTCTTCCTCCTGCTTCTAAGCTCCTTCCAAGTACTGGAAGATTCACTGAGCTCTCCCCTCAGTCTTGTCCAGGCTAAACTCAACTCTTTCAACCTTTCATCATAGGAGAGGTGCTCCAGCCCTCTGATCATCTTTGTCGGCCTCCTCTTGACCCTTTCCAATAGCTCTGCATTCCTCTTCCTGATCAAATAGGAATGCTACAGCGTCCATGGGAAATGTATTCATAGTAGTTATGTATTACCTGTGTATGTGCAGGTATGTACAAATTATCATAATAAAGGTCAGAGACAAAGGTAGACAAATTTGTGAGTGAACCTCTTGGGGTTGAGGGCATTAATATACTCATTTTCCAAGGAGTATCTGCAAATCTGTGTGACTTAAAAAGTACTTCCTCTCAAATAGGCAGAAACCAACCTGTACTGATACTTGTGGTTATTCCTTCCCAGGTGCAAGTCTCTATACTTGCTTTGTTAAACTTCATCTGTTTTCTTGCTGTCCAACTCTCCAGTCTGCCCAGGTCTTGCTGAATGGCAGCACAGCCTTCTGCTGTGTCAGCCATTCCTTCCAGCTTTGTATCATCACCATACTTACTGAGGGTGGACACTGTCCCCTCATCAAGGTCATAAATAAAAACATGGAACTAGACTGGACCCAGCACCAACCCCTGAGGAACACCGCTAGTCATAGGTCTCCAAGTAGACTCTGCCCCACCAATCACAACCCTCTGTGCTCTGCCAGTCAGCCTGTTCTCGACCCACCTCACCATCCACTCATCTATCCCACACTTTCTCAGCTTCATTAGGATGTTGTTGGGGACAGTATCAAAAGCCTTGCTGAAGTCAAGGTAGACAACATCCACTGCCCTCCCCCACCTACCCACCTAGCCATCCTAGAAGGCTCTGAAGTTGGTCAAGCACAATTTTCCCTTGGTGAACCCATGCTGACTACCCCTAAAAACTTTCTCTTCCAGTTGCTTGGAGATGGCATCTAGAACAAGCTGTTCCACCACTTTTCCAGGGCAGAGGTAAGATGGACTGGCCTGTAGTTTCCCTGATCCTCTTTCTTGCCCTTTTTGAAGACCAGGGTGACACTGGCTATCCTCATCTTCAGGCACCTACTTCTCCCATTCCCCAAGACGTCTCAAAGACGATAGAGAGCAGATAGAGAGAGGGCAATCACCCCTGCCAAGTCCCTCACCACACGTAGATGCATCCCAATTGGGCCCATGGATTGGTGTACATTGATCCCACCAAGATACTCCCCCTCCTCAACCAGAAGGAAGCTCTCGATTTCCCAGATTCTCTCTTTTCCCTTCAGGGTTCAGGAGCCCTGAGGGGGAGTCTCTGAAGTGAAGACTGAAGCAAAGAAGGTGTTCAGCATCTCTGCCTTCTCAGCATCCCCCATTACGAGGACACTTCCCTTGCTCAGCAGGGGACTCACATTATCCCTACTCTTACTATTAACATACTTAAAACAAAACAAAACAAAACCTTCTTATTATCCTTTATCTCCTTTGTCAGCTTCAGCTCCAGGCGAGCTTTAGCCTTTCTTGTTGCTTCCCTGAAGGCCCTGACAGCAGTCCTATACTCTTCTCAAGAGGACAGGCCCTTTTTCCACATTTCATAGACGTTCTTCTTCCTTTTGATCTTATCCACGAGCTCCTTGCTCATCCACACAGATCTCTTGCCTCCCTTCCCTGATTTCCTACTGTTACGGATGCACTGATCTTGAGTTTAGAAGAAGTGCTGTTTAAATGATGCCCAGCTCTCACAAGTCCCCTTACCTTTTAGCACTCTTAACCCATGAGATACCTCCAAGTAGGTCTAGAAAAAGGTCGAAGTTGACTCTCTGAAAGTCCAGGGCAGCAGTCCTACTTTTTGCTAACTTACTTCTTCCACTCAAGATCTTGAACTCCACCACCTCATGATTGCTACATCCCAAGCTGCCCCCAACCTTCACAAGCCTAACAAGCTCATCCCTGTTAGAAAGAACAGTGTTGCTGTTACTGAACTCCTCTGCAGCTTAACATTGACATGCACTGCTGCTGGCTTCAAAGAAATCAGGATATAGTTCTGAAAGACCACAGAAGCATTGTGCATATATTGCAATCGGGAAACTATGTTGAACTCTCTGCTGCTATGTCCCATCCATTTTTTCTTGCAGACCAAAATGAGAGATTTTCTTTCAAGAATTCTTTATCACAAAACTTAAAGGCAAGACTTCCCTTTTTCTCAGTTTTCTGTTAAAATGCATGCCTATTCATTTAAAAGATGACACATGTTTGCTAATGTTGAATGTTCAACCATCCTTTATGCAACACTTGTAACTGCAGCCTACGCGTTAGTTAACAGAGAAAGTAAAGATGACCATCAGCAGACAGAATAAATAAATAGAACAGGATTTATTATGATGACCTATTTTTTTTTACACAAGAGCCGTTGCTCTGCAGCTCTGAGCTATTCATAATCTCCTCTCTGTCAGTATCAGCTACTGATACTTCCTAAAACACCAGCAGGTGTTGAGTACTGATAAGTATTTTGAACTAGTTCTGCTACCATCATTGTCCTTCAGTGTCTTTAGGACCACTTTGTGCAGACTGCATATGCTGCAGCAACTGAACTCCAGTAATTTATTCTCATTGGATCCACACTGCAGACAGTGCTGAACCTGCAACGTTCCTGTTGAAGACAGGTTTTTGTCAGTGAGCTCGTGATACAACAGCCACTTCTGTGTCTGAGACCTTGTATTTGCAATCTGTGGGAAGAGCTGAAAATCTCCTGAGGCAGGGAAGTAACTGAGTATGTCTGTAGAACTTCTGGCTGTAAGCAAGATGGGGAAAATTAAACAGTACTTCCAGCTGCAGACAGCCTTTCTATTTTCTACTTGCACAACAATTCCTAGTAAGTGCTTTTATTGGTGTTTATTTTTACCATCTTTCTGTTCTAACATAAGTGAGCCACTTTCTTATGGTCACTGTATTTGTACGAATCAAATTACTGCACCCAGCCCATTAAGGGAATTTATCTCAAAATAGTAACTTTTGCTGAAGAGATGCAGAAGTTCTCCCGCACAGCCCTTGAACCAGCTTCTGCAGCTCCGTGCTCTGTTCTCGCTCAGCTATGTTCCACTCAGAGAAGCCAACGGGCAAAAGCAATGTTCAGAACCAGACGGTGGAAAGCGTTCAGCTGAATGACTAACAATGGAATAGACACGTTCTCCAACCATTCACCGTTTTGGTAGCAAAAACCACCCGTAAACGGGTTAGAACAGCTCTGCCCGGTCTCACCTCGCTCCGATTTTGGCTTTCCGCTTTTGGCTTTCCGCATATGACACGCCACCGCCTGCGGTCACGATCGAACCGGTAGCAGGGAGCCGCTGTCCTCCACCCACAGTGCGCGGTCGCCCGAAGCCGCCCCCCAGCCCGGCGCAGCCCCGCGGGTGAAGTCAGTCCCCGCCCGCGCTGCCCCGCTGCCCGCCAGACTTCCTCTGCGCCCCGCTCCGCACTTCCTGCCCCCCGCCCGGCCGCCAGCACCGCCCTCCCCGCGGGAGGCGCCGGGGGCTGCGGGGGGCGCGGTAGCGGCCGCCTTCCTGCTCCGGCCGAGGCAGCCCGGCGGCAGAGCGCGGTGAGGTGAGCTTGGGCTGCCGGCAGCAGGCGGGGCCGGGCCGGGCCGGAGCGGGGCTTCGCGGGGCCGTGCCGGCGGAGAGGGCAGGTGCTGGCGGTGGCTGTGCCCGCGGGTCCCCCCGCCAGACCCCTCCGGCCCGGGGGGAGGCGAGGGAGTCTGCCCCGGACGGGGCCGCGGGTGGCGGCCGGCTTTGCTCCGTGCCCGCAGCCTCTGCGTCCCGGGGGTCTTGCATGGGCCGGGGCCCCTCGGTAGCTCCGCGTACTGCAGTGGGGTACGGATAACGTTGTGATTGAAGTGAGGTGGCAGTGACGGGTTCCGGCGGCAGCCCGGCGGCAGAGCTTGGAGGCGCCGTCCTGCGGCGGGGACTGCCCGCCCCTGTGCCGGCTCGGGCTGCTGCTCAGTCTGCCAGTCAGTCCCGCTCTCCCAGTCCAAGCGTGTCTTAATCGCACTGTGCTTGATGAATGGCTGCTTGATATG